CTGGTCACCTAGGTCACAGTCCTGCACTGCCTGGTCACCTAGGTCACAGTCCTGCACTGCCTGGTCACCTAGGTCACAGTCCTGCACTGCCTGGGGCACCTAGGTCACAGTCCTGCACTGCCTGGTCACCTAGGTCACAGTCCTGCACTGCCTGGGGCACCTAGGTCACAGTCCTGCACTGCCTGGGTCACCTAGGTCACAGTCCTGCACTGCCTGGGTCACCTAGGTCACAGTCCGGTCATTCCACCTCTGAACGTCCCTGCACTAACAGGAGCTTCTAGGGGGCGCCTCACCTCCAAGCCACAGCATCTGAGGTCTTTTTCTTACTGTGAGGCCAGGGTGCAGGGCACAGCAGGCCAGCTGTGGTGAGCAGCCGTGGACAGTGGTTCTGACACTTCTGAAATTGCACCTGCTCAAAACCTCTCCATGTGAAGTGTCACTCAAGACAAAAAGCAGGTCGTGTCAACCGTGCACCTTCAGGGGGACTGCAGTGATCCCAGTGAGGCGGGAAGCCCCCCTCGGGTCCTCCCCTCCCCGGGATTGCGGTGGAGTGCTGGAGCGGAGCTGCTGGCCCTTTGGACAGATAGCAGGTGCATCCGTTAACTAACAGTGATGGTCTTTGTCTTACAGCCCCTGCCCCCAGAAGGCAGAAATGTGACCACTGGACCGCGTGCCCCACCAACACCTATGCCTACCGGTTGCTCAGCGGTGGGGGTCGCGACAAGTACGCCAAGATCTGCTTTGAGGATGAGCTGTAAGTAGCGGTGTTCAGGAAGGAAGCACAGCGTCCCCCACCAGTCCCTTCTGAGGCTGCCCACGTGGCAGGACTGGCGAGAGGAGACTCATGCCCCTGGCCCCCGCCTAGGGCCCCGTGCACCTGGGAGGGAAGGATCACCCCTTGCTGTCTGCGTTTGCTAGGGAGGGACCCTGATCATCGCTAGCGGTGGGTGGGCGTGCGTCCTGTGCTGAGCTGCTTCGGTTTTATAGTTTGTAATTCATCCTTTACTTTGAGCACGTGGCCAAGTCCAAAGCCAGAGCTTGTGGGTGGTTCTTTATGGTCCCCACCCTCTGTGCACCTCCCAGGGGACAGGCCCGTGAATACCCCTCCTCTGCAGGTGGGAGAATCTGCGCAGTTGGCGCTTCTCCAGGGAAGCCATCCGGCCTGTACTTTTCCTGGTGGGATTTTAAACTCAAACTCCGTTTGTGTGGTCATCAGGGCTGCTCCGTTACCTGCTCTTTATTGTTGAGCACTTCTTTGCCCTGGAGCACAGCGTGCTCTTCTGAAGTCTTTCTCAGTTCAGACCTGAAACCAGCCATTTCTCAAAAGAGACCTTTCCCTTAATGGGTGTGGGATTTGGAAGCCAGGAGGCTCGCTGTGGGGAGCTACGCCCCAGCACCTCTCCAGTGAGCAGCTCCTCTGCCGGTGCTTTCCGGGAGCYGCTGCGATGGAACCACTTCTGAGCATGGATAGTGGACAGAGGCGAGAAATGCATTTCCCGGGAAAGGAGAATTTGCACTGGTATTTCCAGCTAACATTTAACACTGCAGGATTTTTCCTCCATTAGGAGCTTTGATTTCACATTTTAACTCTTTCCTTTCACTGAGAACCTCATTCCTAGAGCGGTTTAACACCTGCTTTCAAAATGTGCATCAGGAGAACTCAATGCAGCTGTTGAGTGAAGGTAACGTTTTTGTCAGTTCTTTTTTTCTTTAAAAATATCACACTGCAGTGTGCAGTATTATGATTGAAGTCATGTGAAAGAGTTGTTTTTCCCATAGTTGTGGGATATACTTGATATGATTAGGTTCATTTCCATTCATTTTTAGTTCTAAGATTTTTTTCTATTTTTTCTTTGGATTTAATTTTTGAATGTGTAATATATTTACATGGTTCAGAAATTACCATTATGTATCCAAAAACATACATTCAGAAAAATCTTCCCTATACCTTCCAATTTTTCTCCTGTTCTCATCTCAGTTTTTTTTTTATTAGTTTCTGATCTATCCCTCTAATGTTTGCTTTTTTGGCAAAATAAGCTTTCTCTATATATATATGAAGATCTACCAATATATGAGTTTTATAAGCATGCCTATGTGAGTTCATGTATATGCATGTATGAATAGGTGTGTATATGTGCACATATACTATATCTTCTGTCCCCTTCACTTTCTCTATTTCTTTTGCTACACATTCATATATGTGTGTATATATACAGATATATATGTGTGCATATATATATATATACACATATACACACAGACACGTCCTTTCTTACATAAAAGTGGTAAACTCCATGCACAGTTTTGCACTTTGCTTTCCTTACTTCACAGTATAATAGAGATTGCTCCCTGTCAGTACAAAGAGATTTCCCTAATTTATTTTATTGGTGCATAGTATTCCACAGGGATGTTTCATAGTTTATTCAACTAGTTTTGCACTGACAGGCAGTTCTAATGTGTCAGATCTTTGGGTATTACTAGTAATGCTACTGTGAATAACCTGTGGTATGTGGTTTTGTAATTGATCCTTATAAAGTGGTCACTTGTGTCACYGCCATCCAGGTTAAGCCGTAGACTATTGCTAGCACTCCGCAGGCCCTCTGTGTACCCTTCCCAAGCGCAGCCCCTGTGTTAAGGAACTCTGTTCCCTTTTGTGGTGATCACGTCCTTGCCTTTCTTGATGGTTTCACTGCCTAAGCATACATTGCAAAACACTGTTGTTTAATCTTGTGTATTTGAATTTTATATGAATGGAATCATAAATTATATGCTCTTCTGTGTCGGGTCTTTTTAGCTCAAAATGACATTTGTGAGATTTGTCCTTGGTGTTGGGCATAGCTATTTTTGTGGATCTGAATTGCTGTGTAATATTGACTTGTTATTTTCCATTCTACAGTTGAATGGCATTTGGGTCATTCCCAATTATTTTTGCCTAGTGCTGTCTATGTCTCTTGGTGCCCATGTGTATACATTTCTGTTGACTTTGGAGTTCAGGGTGAAGGAGGGTCTCACAACCACTTATTCTAGAAGGACTCTTAGGAAACAAACAAGGTTATACTTATGGGTAAGGTTTGTCACAGCAAAAGACACAGAGCCAATTCTGCTTGTGGGTTGCTAATGGTGAATTCTTGCATTTCATTTTTCTTTGAAATATCTGTCTTTCATCTTTATTCCTGAAAGATATCTTGGCCGGATGTGTTGGTCATTGTTTTCTTTCGAAACGTTTGAGGTGTTATTCCATTTTCTTCCAGCTTCATTATTTCTTTGGAGAAATCACCCAACAATCTAATTGCTGCAAATGTGAAAGTAATTTCCTTTCCCCTTTCTGATTCTGATTGTCTTTAGGATTTTTTAACTTGTTTTTGGTTTTCAGCATTTGTACCCTGATGTGTGTGCTGTAGTGTATCTTATTTGTACTTTCCTGAGCTCCTTAAACATGTATGTATCGAAGTTCTTCATTGTATCTGACAACTTTTCTGCTGGTACATTTTCTTTCCCCTTCACTTTCTCTTTTTCTTTTGATATTCTTAACGAAGCACATTTTAGACCTTAATACTGTATTCTCTAAACCACRCTGGTTTTTATTCTGTTTTTTATCTCTGCCTTCCATTGCGGACAGAACTGTTCTTCATTTCAGTGGTATTCTCTTCTACTGTGTCTAATCTGCTGTTAAACCCATTCATTGACCATTGATATTAGCTTATTATATTTAGTTTTAGAGCTTCATTTTTTTCAAATCAGCATGTCAATTTTTTAAATTTCCAGTTCTGAACTTTTCAGTTTTGTTGATCATTTTCTTGAATATATTAAGTCTAGTTATTTTGAAGTCTATGTTGGATAACTCTACTATTTTAACCCCTTGTGAGTCTGTCCCTATTATGTTCCATTGGTACTTGTTATATTGGATTTTTTTACTCATGGGCCGGATTATGCTTGACAGTGAGCCAGACAGTACATTGGAGATTATCTTTTAAATAGAGGCAAGAGATATGTTTTAGTCAGTTTTCCATTCCTGTAATAAAATATCTGAGGCTTGATAATTTAAAAAGAAAAGAAGCTTATTTGGCTCACAGTTCTTAGGTTCAAGGGCATGGCACCAGATTCTTCTACTTAGCTGTGGTGAGCCTCATTGTAGGAGGCTTCACAATGGTGGGAATTCATGCAGAAAAGATTTCATGAAGAGACAGGAAGCCAGGGAGATTCAGGGGCTAGACCCGCTCTTTCATAACAACCTGCTCTCTGGAGATCTGATTCGCTCTGTGAGAATAGCATTGACCTCTTCTTCTAAGGGCATGTCCCCAGTGACCAGTTACCTTGCATGAGCCCCACTCCTTAAAGGTCCCAGCTCCCAACATCACCTCACTGAGACCACGCATGAATTCTTGGGGGACTACACTCAAACTACATCCAAACTAAAGCAGGAAAAAATTTTCTGTGGCTTCTGAGGATTTTTCTTTGCTGCTCTGAGGGACCTGGAACCAAGAGCAGAGCAAGAGACAGCCTGAATAAATTTCAACAACTGAGGCTTTCTGGGCTACTGTGCTAAGGGCCATGCAAATGCTGACTTCATACCCAGCTTCTCCTCTGGCTCGAGACTCCGCCCTTTGTAAGAGCAAACTGATGTAAGATGTGGGGACTCTGACCTGGCCCTCTCTTCGGCCTCCCGTGGTTGTCAGAGTGCTGTTCACCCCCTTTGGCACCTTTTCTGGATTGGAAAATGCTCCTGGGGTAAAAGAGCCCCCAAGTGCTGGGCTCAGCACCGCAAATCCCGTCTCCTCTGAGGTCTTGCCTCGGAAGTCATTTGCTCCCTTATGAAGGCTCTGTTGACTCCTTGAAAACCTGTCCTTCTTCCCTGCTTTCCTCCAGGGATGGTAGGTGCAGCTCACCCAAGTGTCCACTGTTGGAAAATTCAGGTTCCTACCGAACATTCCCTAAAACTGTCCAAAAGCTCTAAGACCAGGAGACTCAGGGAGAAGCTCAGGTCAACACTGCAGAGCAGAGTGATGAAGTGTGTGTTCACCTGGGAAAAAAGGAGAACTCCAAGTTCTCTTTGTGATATTGCCATATCATCGATTCTAAAACTTGGCAGAGGGTACACACACACACACACACACACACACACACACAGAAAAAGAAAATTCCTGTGATCTCAGAAATGATCACCATCTCCAGAAAGTCACTCGGTCTTCCTGACGTCAGGATCCGGTCACCATGATACTGACATCTCGTCTTCTGCATTTTAGAAGTAAACTCTAAGTGGTACGGCAAAGTGTTTATTCAAGGAACTAGCTAAGCCTTGTGGTTGGGTGAAACAGTTGCCTGGAGTTAAGCCATGCCTCCGTCAGTGCTTCCCGGGGTAGAGATGGGGAAGAGTTGGGAAAACCAGGTTTGGGCCCATCTCCCGTTGACTGAGCTCTAACTACCTCACATCTATAAAATGCAAAAATGGATGTTCCTGAGCTGGTTGAAGATTCGGTAAAAAAGCATTTGTGAAGAGCCTGAGCTAAACAAATATGGGTTTTTCTTCCCTATCCTTTGCCTAAATTATAAGACTGAATGCAGCTTCCAGGTGCCGGGGGGCGGGGTGCTGAGTCTACAGAACTCGGGCAGACGTGGGTGGAGCGAGTGTGGGGTGACTCTCCAGGGAGCTGCACCCCAGCAGCTCTCCAGGGTGGTGATCTCTTCAAGGAAACAGTGGGAAACCGTGGTGGGTGGGCCGTGCTGCCCAGAGAGGGTCTTGTGAGCAGGGCCAGGGCGCTCCTTTCTGGGCAGGAAAGGAATCTCGACTGACGCTCAGTTACGTTTCAGGCTCATAGGAGAAAAGACGGGGAATGTGGCAAGAGGGATCAACATTGCCATCGTGGACTGTAAGTTCTAAATGATTTCCTTAAAATGTCTCTAAGAACTCTGAGGTTGGGTCTTTCACCCAGACCTTGAGCTCTGGAGAGCTTTGCACATGATCTAGTTTAGGTCTGTCTTAATGCATTTTAAAATGATGGACTTAGTTATTCTTCCGAGCCCCGCATTTCAGATTGTGTTTCAATAACAACAAAACTCACTGAAGACCAAACACAAAAGGAGTTTACAAAGCACAAAGGGGACAGGCGGAAGGCACCAGCTGGGGCCCTGGGTCGCATCTCAGTCCCACTGCTGGCCAGCTCCCACTGCCTTATGATAAATGGCCACAGGAAGTCCATGGAAGGCAGATCCGGGCCCTGCTCGGAGGTCCTGCTGCCACTGGGAACCCTAGCACTCAGAACTGCAGCAGGGTCAGAAGGAGTTCCCTGCAGAATCCCCGGGGCAGCAGACAGCATGGGCCGGGGGCAGAAGAGCTGCGGGGAGAGACAGTTCTCCCTGTTGAATGACCCCAGGGAAGGCTGACGCACATGGCTGGAGGGACTGAGGGGTCTCTGTTGTCCCTGGAGGAGATGCAGTGGGGAGCAGAACGGTAAGGTCAGCTCTAATGGGTGYAGGCTGCAAGCGGCTCTAGAGCAGTGGCCAGGCTCTGTCCTGCTGTCCCTGTGCTTGGTGACATTCTTTAGGCCATCCCATCAACTGTTTCCTGCAGACACACAGACAAGAAACGGCCTGTTAGGAGGGACCAGGGCCACCCACACACCCTGTATTATTTATTTTTTAAGCACAATTTCTTTTATTTGCAGATGTAACTGGGAAGCCGATAGCCACACAGTATTTTGATATGTATGGAGGTGGTAAGAGAACATTTCCTGTTAAGATGAAGTTTAAACATGGACTAGACCCTAAAGAGACTGGGCATTTATTCAGAAAGGAGGAGGGACGCTCTGGTCTGCATCTCTCTCTGCGGGCCCCTCGGGCAGGCGTGGCTGCCCTGCTCTGGGATGGCACCTGAGTCCAGCTCCAGGCTAGCGACTGCAGAGGCCCCTGGCCGGTGCTGCAGGAGCTGTGCTGGTTGGAGGTTGGTTGCTGGACCTCTCGGGACTGCCCGCCTCGGCTCTTGGTCTGGGAGAGCTCCTTTCCCACTCTGTACCCAGAACATCTGTYGTTTGTCCTGTCACTCAGATGGTCCCCCAGTGAGCCCCAGATGGCCCTGATCCCATGTTGAGGCCAGCACTAGGAAGCAGAGTGGACCTAGAGGCCGCGGGCAGAGGGAGGCCCTGGCCAGGGCAGGAGCCTCCATTGGCAGAGAAGACCCTCAAACTCGCCCGCACTGACCCCACAGATAACTCTGGACCAATGATGAAGTTCATTCAGAGCGCTCCCTCGAGATCCCTGCTGTTCATGGTGACCCACGACGACGGAAGCACCAGGTGAGCGTGTGGGGAGTCAGCATGGCCCCAGCGGCCAGCAGGGCGGAGCGCCAGGGGCCTCCCTCCTGGTCTCCAGGGGAGACAGAAGTCCAAGCAGGGGGGCACTTGTTTCAGGGACAGGAATGGCTTGCAGATGGCGTGACAAAGCAGGCTGTCTCTAAAGGAACTCTAACCTGGAGCTGGAGCACCTGCCTGCTGGCCCAGGGCTCAGTCCCCCACAGCAAGCAGCTCGCAGGGAGGTATGAGCTTTCCAGCCAACCCAGAGAGGGACTTCCAGGAAGATGGCTTCCCCACACGGGGAGCAGCAGAGGGTACAGGAACACACACACACACACACACACACACACACACACACACYGCACTCACGGAGGAGCTGGTTTAGCTCGGTACTTCTGAGTGCGATCTGCCAAGTCAACATGCGCCTGTCTTTAGGGAGAATTCGTGAACCTGGAAAGCATTTTACAAATGTGTCTGACCTCAGATTCATTTCTCAGGAAGCGTCTGACACACCAAAGTTCCTTAGATGATGCTTGGAAAATGCATCAAAATGACTCCCTTAGGAAAATCGAAACATCTTGTTCTCTTGTTCTCCCTCCTTCCTTCGCTTCTTCTGCACCACACCATTTCGCCCTGATGGCGTTGTGTTTTGTTTTGTGTTTCTTTCCTTTTCTAATGCTGGATTTTCTRACTATGGAAGAGCACCACTTTGGACCTTGGTATCGTCCTCCAGCTTTGCTGTCCACCTTATTTTGTAGTCAGTCAGCAAAATAGCAACCTGGACTGGAAAGGATGTGGGCCAAGTTTGAGGATGTGGCTGAACCCCAGACACACACAAGGTCCTTTCAGAACCAAGAAGTGAGACCCCAGAACAGGTCTCTGAGGGCTCTGGATGCCATCCTCTGCTGTGCACCCAACCAGCAGGTCCTTCCAGTGGCCTCCCTGCAGCTGCAGGGCGCACCGGCTTCTCCTGGCTCAGGACCAGCATGACTGGCGGCGGCAGCCTCCTCCCCTCAGGTGTCCTCGGGAGGCTTTCTCACGCTGTCCCCTTTGCCTCCAGACTGAAGGCTGGCGCCAAGGATGCCATCGAAGCACTTGGAAGTAAAGAAATCAGGAACATGAAATTCAGGTCAAGCTGGGTATTTCTTGCAGCAAAAGGCTTTGAACTCCCTTCAGGAATTCAGAGAGAAAAGGTGAGTGCTTCTCAGCCTAAGGCTGGGATCTGAAAGGCTGCCAGTGGCTGTCGGTAAGCCTGGCCCGGTCCCCTGGGGTTGTTCTCGCTGAAGTCTGGAACTCTCAAGTCTCTTGAATAGAAGATTCTGAGAGGGCCCTGGGATCCGCCTCCCAGCCCTGCAGCCAGCAGGCAGTTCAGGCTCCTCCCACGGAGGAGGTCAGCCTGGCCCCTGCTGGGGACAGTGATGGCACTCCCCTCCTGGGGGACAGAGGGGCTTCAGGGGCCAGGCAAGGCGGCCCCACATTGACCAGCCCTTGATCAGTACAGCCGTCGTCTCCTGTCCTACCTTGTCAGGTGACAGATCTTGCCCTTCCCTAAGGACCCTGTTTATCAGAGCAAAGGGAAGAGCAGAACCAGGTTCTGACTTACCGAGTCTCCTGTGGAGAGCCCAGCCGAGGGTGGCTCAGGGCCATTGTTGAGTCACCTTAAGGACCGTAGCACCAGCCCCATTCATTGAGTCCTTGCAGCTGTTCCACAGGTCAGCTTCCTGGTGCTCAGAGCTGTCAGTGGCCCCGGGCCGACTCGACTGCTGGAGAGCAAAAGGAAGTTGGAAGATGCTTCTGTTCACCCTCTTGGTCTTGTAAGAGGGGAGGAAGCCGAGCCCCACCAACTGAGGACTAGTGAGGGTAGATGCTCTTCTGTAACTGAGCTGGGGCCTAGACTCCAGGACACGCCCTGCAAGAGACCTCCACCYGAGCCTGGCAGAGGGCTTCCCCAGGCCCCCCGAGCACCCGCCCAGGCTTCTCCTCTGGGTCTCTGTCCCCGCCTGCATGCCCAGGACACCCAGGCTCCCTGCAGCAGGCATGCAGGACTTGGTGTCCGGGTTTTTTTGTCCTTTCTTGCCTGGATTATAACATGTTAAAGGCAGGAACCACAGTTTTCTTTAAATTTTGTCATCCCCAAAGTCTCAACAATAAAAAAGTTTATCACTAGATTAGTTTTAAGAAGATCTATAGGTAGATGGATAGATAGATGGACAGATGTAGCTCTAAGTGAGATTTATCCCGGGGTTACAAAGTTAGTTTAACAACCCCCAAACCCGTCAGTATACCAAACCACAKTAATAGAAGAGAAACCCGACTACCTCAACAGACACTGAAAAGCACCCAACGCCCCTTAGTGATAAAAGCACTGAACACACTAAGAATAGAAGGGGACTTTCCTGCTGTGTCACAGTACATCTATAAAACCCCACAGCTAACATCATGCTTAGGGTGAAAACCAGACAATTTCCCTTCAAGATCAAGCAAAAAAAGAACATCATCATTGCGACCTTTTTCTTCATTRTAGTGAGGATTCTAGTGAGGGCAGATGGAGAAGGCTGCACAGTGTGCCCTGTGTGTGCCAGGCCCTGGGTCCCATCCCAGCACTGCCAAAAAGAAGGAAAAAGTAAAAAGTCATCCACATTGAAAAGAAATCCAACTCTCTCCATTCACAAATGACACCATTTTATGCATAAAAACAACCTTAAAGAATCCACTAAAAACTATTTAAACTAAGGGAAAAGCTTAGCAAGTTTTTAGAATATGAGATCAATGAAAAATTAACCAAATTTCTATTTTTTGCAATGAACAATCAGAAAATGAAATTCAGAAAATAATTGTATTCAGAGTAGCATTAAATAATAAAACAAAGGAAAAAATTTAATGTAGGGGAATAAGACTTGCATACTACAACTAATAAATCACTATTGATGAAAGTTAAGAAAAAGGGAAGATAGTCCATGTTCATGCATCAGAAATTTTAATACTGTTTAGAAGTTAGAACTCCCAAAATTGACCTAAAGATTTAAAGCACTCTCTATTTCAGCTGACTTTTCAAAATAGAAATTGAGAAATTTATCCTAAAAATTATATGAAAATTCAAGAAACTCAGATAGCCAAAGTGGTCTTGAGAAAGAAGAATGGAGGTACAGCACTCCAGGTCCCAGTTCTGAAACACATGACATGCTATCGTCATCCACATGGTGTGGTGTCGGCATAAAGCCAGGCACGTGGTCAGTGGAGTAGAATTCAGACTCCATAAAATGGGAGTCCTCATGGCTTGACCAGCTGACTTTCAACAAGGACACAAGGCCGTAACTGGTATAGATAAAACCAGCTATCCATGTGTACAGAAATGTGCTTGGGTCCCCACCTCATGTCACGTGCAGAATCTAACTCAGAATGTCAGGGCTAGAACTTCAACTCAGGGAAAAAAAAAAAACAAAAAACATAGGTGTGAATCTTTGTGACCTTGGTAGGCAGCAGTCTCATGGCAATGACATCACTAACAACAAAGGTCAATGCTTGTCATCAAAACAGAACTTTCCTGCTTCAAGGACACCATAAAGAAAGTAAGAATCAGAGAATTCTCACGGAATTGGAGAAAATATTTGCAAATAATAGAATGTGTTCAGAATATATATATAAAGAACTCTTGCAGCTCAATATTAAAAAGACCACAAACTTATAAAGTGTTCAAATGATCTAAAATGCTTCCTTTTCAAAGAAGGTTACAAAAGTTCATGAATAGCCGTTCAGCAGCGTTAGTGATCAGGGAAATGGGATAAAATCCCAATGACATGCCACCTCTCATACCAGGATGGCCACAGCCCTATTATTCCCAGTTTAACATAAGCTGGTCTGACTCACTGAAGAGAAATTGAGAATCCTCAGGCCTGTCAAGTGGTGCAGCCTGGGCTGAGCTGGGCTCAGTGGTAGAGGGCTTTCCTGGCATGTGTGAGGCTCTGGGTTTGATTCTCAGCACCACATATAAATAAATAAAATAGAGGTCCACTGACAACTAAAAATTAAAAAAAAAAATGGTGCAGCCCTCGGGGAGCATTCTGGCAGGTCCTCAAAAGTTACACAAGCAGCTCCCACAGGACCCAGCAGTCTCACCCGAAGTGTGCACCAAAGGCGTGAAAACATGCCCTCCTACAAAATCTGCTCCGATGCGAGCACAATCATTTGAGCAAGGAACTCTAAAGTGCCCTGAGAAACACACACAGTGCTGCTCCTGGCTGAAAACTGATACCAGTCAGGTTTGCATTCACATTAAGTGCATTAAAATGGAGCAGAACTTACAGTTCATTGTCTTCTCTCAAGCCACACCCCAGGTAMTCCAGCTGAGGGTGGCTAGTGGTGACCGTTGAGTAGCATAGGCCACAGAACATTTCCATCTCTGCAAAGTGTCCTCGAGCTACATTCAGGGTTATCAAGAGGCGTGTAAAGAGGAAATCCAAGAGCCAGCTTGTGCTGGAGCAAATCCCGCTCCAGGAATTGTTTCTGCTCATGTGACTTTGCTCAGTGACAAAGATTAAATATTTGCTGACTAGCTTAGTGAATAAATAAAACATTTATTTTCCTCTCACACAGATCAACCACTCGGATAATTCGAGGAACAGGTATGCTGGCTGGCCGGCAGAGATACAGATAGAAGGCTGCATACCGAAGGACCTGCGGTAGCATGACGTGTTCCCCGAGAATGGCTTTGTGGGTGGAGGCAGCTGGGCTGGCCCCAGAATCTTATAAGTCCCACAGTCAATCCCTGAAGAATATTTTGCTAGTTGATAAAATCTTGGCACACGATGTTTTTACACTGGTGCTTGTGTCCTGAGGCTAGCGATGAACAGGAAGCCGAATGTGTGGGAATTCACGGGGGACCCCAGATGTAACATGGAGAGTGTGGGGAGCACCCTGCACATCTGGTCTGGAGCAGCAGCCCATGTGGTCCCCCTAGTCCTGCGGAGAGTCTCTATCCTGAGGTCTCCGAGAATGCCCTGGCTCCCAAGTCATCTCCTAGGAGAATGAGCTATGGTCAGGAGGGTGCAGCCGACATCCTTGGTCACTTCAAGTGACATTCTTGGGCTCTGCCTGTGGGCTGTGGATTTTTTCATTTATTCACTCATTCCACCTGGGTGCTGCCTGCCCCTGGCACTTGGGAGCCCAAGTCTTTGTAGAGGCCTCAGCAAATCAAGGATGGGATGGTGGCCCAGGCCCAGTTATGGGCTGAACGGGTCCCCCTAAATTCATTTGTTGATGTTCTGATGCCCAGTAAATACCTCAGAATGTGACCTTATTTGGAAATGGAATTTTTGTAGCTGTAGTCAAGATGAGGTCATCCTGGAGCTGGGTGGCCCCTCTTCCATATGACTGCTGCCCTTACAACAAAGGGCAGACCTGGACACAGATGGACACAGGGAGGAGGCCTTGGGAGGATGAAGGCAGAGACCTGGAGAAGCCTCTTCAAGCTGGGAAACGCGAAAGGTTGCAGCAATACCAGGAGCTGCGAAGGTGTGGGACTGAAAGCAGCTCGCCCCCCGGCTCTGCGTGCTCTGCAACACAGCCAGAGAGCCGCCTCCCTGGAGTCCCCAGGCCAAGAGCAGTCCTCTGGCTCGGCACCATCCGTGGCCTCTGAGCATCCTGGGCCCTGGATGGACTCTGTGGAGGCAGGGCCGTCACTTGTGCCCTGTCTCCAGGGATGTCCAAGAAGTCAGCACCATGTGATCGCTGAAAAGCTGCTGAGATCACTGTGACTTCTGGAGAAGGTGGACAATGGAGACATTGGAGGGCTAAGCGGCCGCCAGGGCAGGGAGGGCTGGACGGGCAGCGCGTGGGGGATTCAGGGGCTGACACCACGTGCATTGGACTATAGGTGGCTCCAGGTCATCATCCAAAGCCTCAGAATGGACAGCACTGAGAGTGAACCYTAATGCTGAGGCAGACGCTGGGTGACAATGACGTGTCAGCCCAGGCCATCAACTGTCACAGAGTGCCCTCTGGGGTTGGTGGTGGGCCGCTGTGTGTGAGTATTCAGGACAAATTCAGCAATGTGTACCTCCTGCTCCATCCTGTGTGAACCTAAAACTGCTCTTAGCAATAGTGTATTACAAAAAAGCATCCACACAGGAGGACAGACAGGTGGGCAGCAAGCTGAGCCTCCTGGTCACTTTGGACTTGAGCCTGAACCTACCACCAGCTCCCCAAGGGGGGAAGGGTGGGCCCACTGGGCTTTCCTCAGGAAGTGGGGGGTGGGCTGGGTCCCCTAGGTGTGACCCTTCCACAGAGAGGACAAGCTCTCTGGAGCAAATGGCCTGGGAGTCCTGATTTCTCGGCATTTTGGCCTTTCGYCCCCGGGGCTGCTGGCACCACAGTCTGCAGCCACATGGAGCTTGCTCTGGATTGAGAAGAGGACCCTCCCTTCAGCTGCCCTTGTCTCTCTCAGCCCTGGAGGCAGGGGCACTGCCAGCCCTGTCCTGCCAACCCCGCAGATGGACACCATGTTTGAGGGCAGCATCCRATGTTCACCCAGGCATCCTCGCTGGGCCTGGGGCTCGCTGTGGGCCCTGCTGGTTACCCTCATGCTGTCCTGTGTCAGGGTCACAAGGACTCAGCCCACTGCARCAGGTGAGGCTCAGGGAGGCTGAGATCAGTGTGCCTGGTCTCACAGACGACAGGGATGAGTGGACTCCACTCCCAAGGGCACAGAGCCCCTGGGCTCTGTGGGGCAGGGCAGCTTATGGTTACTCTGCTTCATTAGTCCAGGGGAATGTTTTGTGATCTCTGTTTCCACCATTGAGAAGGCGAATGCAGGATGAGAGGCCTGGGGGAGGGGATGCACCTGCCTTTGGAAGGCTCCAGATGTTTCCTAGTGGCTACAGACAGCTGCACGTGGCTCCAAGCAGTTCCAGTGGCTCCAGACAACTCTAGATAGCTCCAGACAGCTTTTAGATGGCTCCAGGTAGCGGTGGGCTGTCAACACACAGGGGCTGTGACCCTCCCAGGGAGACCAGCAGGCAAGGTGAGAGGCAAGCATTTGTCAAGCTGCATGCTTGACCCTGACCTGATGCTGAATCAAGAGCTCCTGCCCAGAGGCTGTGACCATGTCCCTTCTCTGGGTTTCCAGCTCCTAACTAGGGGAAGGGTGAAAGTGGTATGGTATGGACACTCAGGGCTTTGAGATCACAAACCTGAGAGACTGTCCCAGACCTTGTCCCTGTCAGCCTATGCAGTCCAACCCAGCAACCACGCACAGCTATGCAAATTAATTTCAATTACATGGAATCCCAACCCACAGTAGCCACAGTGCACTGCTCAGCACCTGTGTGGAGCAGAGCAGAAAGGCCCAGCACAACACGCAGTCACTGCAGCAATTTCCATGGGACCTCCAGCTGGCAGATGCTGGGTCTCCAGGTGCAGCCCCCCCCCCCGCCTCCCCTGAGACTCCTCAGCGATGGCGACTCCGGGCCACCCTGACCTGAGGGATCAGACCTCTGGAGTGGCCTGGCTGTCTTCACAGCCCTGCCAGGTTGAGACACAGCTCCAGTTGAATTGTGAGAGCAYGAGGACAATTTAGCTGTGTTTCTGTGGCCAGACACTTGGCTTCATGCCTCTCATGGGGCGCTGGTGATGGGAGAGATGGTTCATCACAGCAAAGCAAAGCCTAGCAAGAGAAGARATGGCTGGCCTGGTCCCTGACCTGTTCTGAACATGCTCAGGTGGGAGGTGGGTCCTGCAGGGAGAGCCCTTGGCATCTGAAGTGCAGCAGATGTGCTGTCCACATTGTCCTCTGAGCAGCATGGCATGTGCCTGGTAAACCTGGCTGGTGCCAGGAGGCGGGAACCATATAGATAAGTGCCTGGCGCTTTGGCGGTGGTGGTGGCCACCGGCCAGCCCTGCATGCAACTGGCAATTTCTAGAGGGAAACKGCTGCATCAGGGCACAGGGTGGCTCCATTCTTCTCTTGGCCACCTAGGCCACTGGATTTGGGGRATAGCTTTGCTCACTATCATGCAGAACCTGGGGCTGGGTGGGGAAGCATTGGGCTGAAACCTGTCTCTGAGGCTTCGGATGCCGCTTCTGCAGTATTCTTGGCACAGTGACATGGCCTCGGTGATGGGCGGGACACTGGCTCCAACTCCTGTATGTAAATACTCCCACCACACCGGGTTCTCAGCCAGCAGGAGCCAGCTCCAGCATGCAGGCTGGGTGCTGAATCCACTTTGTAACTGGCACTGAGTAGAAAGGAGACATGGGTTCGTGCTGCATGTTCTAAAAACGGTTCTTTGCCATTGCATTGGAATTCTGTCCACAGCCATCTGCCACAGAGGAAGGATGCAAGCCTCTCACTCCCTGCCCTCCATCCACACCTTCTCCTCCTCCCCAGCAGCACTCAGGGCTTCCTATCTTAGGGTTTCTTTTTAAGGAAATTCTGTGCATATTCTCTGGATGCTCACCCTAGGAAAGAAGCCCCTCTGCAAGGACTAGTGTCTGCTAGATTCACAAGCACATCCCAGGGATCCAGTGCTCAATAAATATTTGTGAATGAATAGAGGAATAATTACTAGTTCCTTAAAAAGTAATAAAGGGGCATGAGCCCTGGGAGACGAGGTTTATTTGCTGTCTGCTGGTGTGCAGATGTCACTGTGGATGATACGGGGCTGGAGAGGATAGAGACAGCAGAGCAGCAAAAGATCCCAGTGTCCAGGTGTCCAGGACCCCATGGAGCTCTGGCATTGCTTGCAGCTCAGTTGTGATGGACCTGCCCATGTAGGGGATACAGATGGCCTTAGAGATGGCTGCTGCGCAGGGTAGGTCCTGTCCCTCATGCCCATTTCCACTTTTCTAAATTGTTTTGTTTACTTTCATCCTGACAGATTAAACTTCCAGACTCGGCAGGGGAATATCCTCTAATGAGAGGTGCTGGGGGACCATGTGTCCTGGAGAGTGCTGGATTCCCATTCTCACACCTGTCCACATGCCCCTGCCTCTCAGACTCTCAAGAATTCTAGGAGAGGGGCTGGGGATGTGGCTCAAGCGGCAGCGTGCTCGCCTGGCATGTGTGCAGCCCGGGTTCGATCCCCAGCACCACATACAAACAAAGATGTTGTGTCTGCTGAAAACTAAAAGAGAAATATTTTAAAAAATTCTCTCTAAAAAAAAATGTTAAAAAAAAGAATTCTAGGAGAGACAGACCAAAGGCAGCCTGGGAGGTGGACGGCTCCCCCTGCAGAGTGCCTGGAGTCCCCCCTACTCCTGAGCTCTGGGCCACGCCCTTGGTGGTCAGGAGCTCTCTGCATCTCCGCCCTCCAGGGCCTTCCTGCCAGCGATGTGCACAGGGCTTTGGGATTGTAAAGCTGTGGCTCTAAGTATGCAAGGAAATCGCTTCCCCCTGTAGTTTCTGGACTTTTTCCAGCTTTTGGTGGGCCATACATACATTCAGTCACACAGGGCTCCCTGGGAGTGGACAGCGGAGCAGGGCCACCACCCARCACCACAGGGGCTGCCTGGTGGAGGGAGGTGGCACTCACAAGCATATTTTCTTGCTTCACCTGGTCCCCTCAAAAGTCCCTAACCCCCAGCACCTCAGAAAGTGGCCTCATGGGAAACAGGATCCTATGGTGACATTAAGGTGAGGCTGGGTTAGAGCAGACTGAATTACTCAAGCCTGGTCAGTTCCAGCTCAG